CCAAAGATCTGAAAATTAGGTCCTAGACTCCCCAAAAACGTGTCCAAGTGTTATATATACAGTTGGGGTCGAGTCCTAGTCGAAATAGGTCGAAAAAACCATAAAAATAGGGAAAACGCGTAAAATCCGTACAAGTCGCGCCCAGGGTCACACGACTCGTGTCACATGCCACACGAGTCGTGTGAAAAAGTCGAGAGCAGGTTAGGCAACCTATTGGAATGACACGAGTCGTGTCTCAAACTCACACGACCCGTGTGAGTCTGGGAGGGTTAAAACAGCTCCAAATCGTCACTTTCAGCATGTTTCGTGGCTCCTGTTCAAGTATCTGGCGTCCAAGGCACCCTAGAAGGCCTAGCAGTGGTCTAACGACGTACAGGTCACCGGACATGGCGAGTTCCGGCCAGCCCCGCGGCTGCTTCCGTTCAGTCCGGCGTCAGGAGAGGTGAAATGATGTCGGCGGCAGTTAGCGTGGATCCGTCGTACGTGCAACGGCGAGGTGGTGAATGCGCAGCGAGCTCCGGCAGATTGTTCATGGAGGACTGCTGCTCTTCAATGGCGGATGGTGAAGAAGGTGCGTTCAGCACGTGAGGAAGAAAGTGAGCCAACATTCTCCCATGCAAATTACATATGTGCCCTTACTTAATTCATCAATTGGGCTTGTAATTTTGGGCTGCTGCTAATAAATTCTTTTGGGCCTTCTAATTGGGCTGTAAATGCAAGACAAATCATATCAAATTCGTGCCGTTAACTCTAAATTCATCCGGGCCCTCGCCGTTTTCAACTCCAATAATTATTTCGAACCTATTTCCTGTTAAAACTCAAAAATAGAACACCTCATCATAGCTTAATAAATATAATCAAATAGTTAATTAATTAAATAACAATTAATTAAATATAATAAATTATATATCAAACTACGACAAAATAGACACAAAAAATCACTATAAAATGCACGTAAATATGACGCATGTCAGATTCCTTCGACCGACTCAACAGACCGGTTTACCCTTGCGGGTATAATATCCTATATCAATATATTTTATAAAAAAATATATACAAAGTAATATGTTTTTAAATATTTTGTATAAATTACAAATTTAACCCATGATCTAAATTGGAATATGACTAAAATTTTTTGAATTCGCAAATTGACCCCAAATTGCATAATTGTAACTAACTGCACGTTTTAAAATTGCAAATCAGTCCTTAACATTTAACCAATTTCCAAAAGTTGGTCCTCAGCATCAAATCCGTTTTCAGCCCTCCAGTCGCGACTCCACCACCAGTGACCGATCTCCACCCAGCCGCAGCGCCGTAGGCACTCGTTCCCTCGCCGGAGACGTCGATCAGCCGAAGGGAAGCTTGATTTATGACTCGATGTTCGAGCTTGAAGCTCGATTTTTCGGTACAGTGGAGGAAAGTGTGAGGCCGGCGGTGGAGTTGGTGGACGAGCGGGAGGTGGCCGTGGAAAAAGTTGTCCACTGCGGGAATATCAGAACTAGTATGCGGCAGAGGCGGGGCCATGGCGGAATTTACCTGGAGCTCGACCACGTCGACCGGACATGGCGGAGGTGCGCCGACGTGGAGCCTTCGGTCGGTCAATTTCCGACAGAGTCGGGAAGGGTGGTGTCAGGCTGTGAGTGTGTGTGCGTGTGTGAGTCGGGGGCTCTCTGTGTGTTTGTGTGTGTCCGCATCTGTCCGTGTGTGTGTGTGTATGTATGAGAGAGAGAGAGAGAGA